GGGGGAGGAGTAGCACCCAGGTCGGCCACGCGTAGAGGTGGGTAGGGGGAGGGGGGAAGGCTTCTTAGAAGCAGGCTGCTTCTTAGAAACCGCGGGCCTTATCTCTAGATGTAAAGCTCCGTCCCGTCCCTCCTTCCCGATCTCCCCTCCTCCCCGATCGCCCCTCCTTCCCCTCTCTCCCTCCCTTCCTCCCTCCTTTCCCCCCCCCCCCCTACCCGGTCTCCCCGGCCCCCCCCCCCCTTGTCCCGACCCGTCCCCCGTGTGCCGCGCGGTTCCTCGGCCTCCCGCAGCGCCGCCCCAGAGAGGGGAGGGGGGGGCGAATGAGGCGATCCGTTGGTCAGGATCGATCCCTTTCGTTGGAAATGCCAGTGACCTCAATGGGAATAGCGGGGCAAGCATGGAGCTTCGAATCCAGCAGGCTGACAAGGTATACTACCGCTGAAAATCTGCCCTCCAGTGCCGACGTGCCCACCGAAGGCGAAGACTAGGTTTGGGCTTGCAAATTATGCTTGCCCTCACTTGGCTGGTTACGGCTTGCGTGGCGGGGGTCCCATTACTCACGCGCTGCGTGCGTTCTCGAGGTGACGGGGAGGGGGCAATGGGCCGACATCCCCGTCGTGAAGCAAGAGTCTCTTCAGCCTTTGCCGCCGCGGGGCCCACACATCCGAGGTGTCCGACGACGTCGGAAACCTCCTCGAAATCAGCTCCCTGGGGTCGGGTTGGGTCGGTCCGTGAGTCAAGAGTTGGCCGGGACTACTTGCCCACAGGATCCCCTAAGCGCCACATTTGCACCTCTTCCCCCGCAGCCTTGATTGGGCATCAAGCCCTCCCTTACCCACCCTTGCTGCACGGCTTGGGTCTCAAGGGCAAGATTTCCTGGTTCGGCCGGGTCGCAGCCTTGCCTTCGCGGTTTGGGCCATACTTGCCGGTTTACCGTCCAGGGTCGCCTTCGTGACCGTTCGCGGCGGCCTGCCGCTGGGGTCCACAGAACCTTCCAGCTACCTTCGGGTCCATTTGGGCTTGGGTGCGGCCATTGCCGCGTGCCTGCTTCGGCGGCTCGCGGGGGCTGGCGCTTGTGTTCACCGATGGTTTGGCCCGGGGCAAAGCCCACGCCCATCGCATAACCGTCTCACCTATGCCAGCGTGCTGGGCGGGTGTGGCGGGGTGTGCACAAGTTAAGCTCCATCGAGAGGTGGAGAGATTGGGCCTGGATCTCGTGACGTGGCTTTCGGAGAGGGCCGTTTCTCCCTTTTGCCTTTGCTCCAGGCCCGGGTGCTGCATTGTATAATGGTGCATCCTGTACGCTGTCGCGTGTGTAATGATGGCATTTGCTTTGTGCTTTGCTGAAACACGGAATCGAACCAACGAGCAGTAACAAAAGTCCAACAGTTGGGCAGCATACCGCATGTCAGATATTACCCGGATTCGTCGTCGCGGTGGTGGGAATTTGACATGAGCGTCTTCTGGAGGCGCGTTTACAGGATCGGCCACGCCTTCGTGGAAGACGAAGATGGCTCTGCAGAACACAGGAGACGCGTGCGTTTCGGACATCTCGCGCGCATGGGCGGCATATGCGCATATGCCGTGCGCACCTGGTGTCTCGCGTGGTGGAGGTACCGGCAGAGACGGCACCATAACGAAAGGTGCGGGGTCCACCTGGCGCATGAGATGGGAGTCCCAATCTTACATCTTTTTACGACGACATCGAATGTGACCACCCAGTCCATACCACAGCCGGTTGGATGCAGCGGGCCAAATACCGAGCTCGCTGGAAGCAGGCAGAAAGTGCTTTCGCAGCAGCGCTGGATTCTGTCATGTGTCGTAACGTCGCTTTTAGGTGTGCCTCATTATTAGCTTTTCTTTTCTTGCTTCGCTCTTGGCTCTCGGCTCCTCCTTTGCCTTGTGTGCCCTTGCCCTTGTGTGGTGTGTGTGTGCGTGTGTGTGTATGTGTGTGAGTGTGTGTGTGTGTATCGTCCTTCTCTCTCCCTGCTTTGTTTTCGCCCCCCCGTCCCCCGTCTCCCCGTCTGTCGGCCCGGTCTGTCTTTTCTCTTGACCCTTTCCCTGCCCCCCCTCTCCTCGTTTCATCGGCTTCTCGCTCTCCCGTTGTTTCGTTTCCCTTGCTTGTCCCGCGTTTCTTTATCGGCTTGGCCCAATTAAGAGTTACGCGATCGAGGGTGCTGCGCCGGCAAATCGCTGGACATGTCACACGAAATTCTGTGAGACGTTCGTGGTTTTCCAATGGTGGTCCCCATTGACGGGGTTTTCATATCACCAGAACAGAACAGAACAGAGACGGGATGGAAACAAGGGAAGGAGGGGAAGGGAACGGGAGGCATCGGGATGGAGGGAGGGAGAGACAGACGGGGAGGAGGAAGGGTACGAGGGAGGAGAAGGGAGGGAGGCAGGATGATCCCTCTTGCCTCGCGCCCTGTCGCCTCCTGCCCCGCGACGCGCTCCGCGTGTGACGGCTGCTCCCAGAGGCCGCGCAGCAGACGCTCTCGTTCTTCGCCGTGCCCGCCAAGCCGCGGCTCCGCCCGCCTGGTCCCCTTGGTGAGTGCTTGTCCCCTGGGCCAGCCAGCTGTTGTCCGCACGACTGCATCGTGTTCCTCCTCGTGCTCCCCCCCGTGCTCCCCTCCTAGTCCTCCACTCCTCCTGCTCTTCTCTTTGCTCCTCCTCGTAATCCTCCTCCTCCTCCTCATCCTCCTCCTCCTCCTCCTCCTCCTCCTCCTCCTCCTCCTCCTCCCTCCTCCCCCTCCTCTCTTCGTGCTCTTCTCCGTGCCCCCCCTCGTGCTGCTCGTCTCCTCGTGCTCTTCCTCGTGCTCCTTCTCGTCCTCCGCCTCCCGTTGCTCCTCGTGTCCCACCGCCGGGCCGGCTGCTCCGCACTGTCCGCAGCCTCGGGACGCTTGCCGGCAGCTGCGCCTCGCCGGTCCCGGGGGTGCCCAGATCGTCCTTCGCGGCCGCCGCCGCCGCCGCCGGAGACCCGAGCAAGGGCATAGAAAGTTAAGAGGCGCACCGACTGCAGGGAGGAATCAGAGGCGACGATAGGGGCGAATAGCCCAGGGGAGAGCCATACATGTATATCCAGGGGCGCCGATGACCTATGTCTTCGACAAGGCTCCCGGGCGAATGCGGGAAATGCCCGCCCCTGGGCTCTTCGCCCCTATCGTCGCCTCCGAGTGAAGAGGCGCACCGGCTGCACGGAGGAAGGGGCGCGCTCCTTGTCAGCATTGGGCGCTGCTTGGCTTCCGTCGTGCCCCTGACCAGGCACGCGAGCAGACACGACAGCTGCACGGATGCAGCGCGGCCCCGTTGGACCATAGAATTCCTCGGGAAACCCGTCGGATCCCGTAGGACATCCAGGAATCCTTCGGAAATCCTTAGGATTCCTTCGGAAACCCATATGATTCCTTAGGGAATCCATCGAAACCCTTCCGAAATCCTCAGGATCCCTTGCGAAACGCATCGGATTCCTTAGGGAATCCATCGGATTCCTTAGGGAAGCCATCGGATCCCTGAGGGAATCCATCGGACTCCTGGGGCAATCCAAAAGGATTCCTCCGGAAACCTATAGGAACCCAGGGAAATCCATTGGATTTGTGGAGTTCGTTTGAGACTTGCTCGAGGCTCGTGGCTATTTGGGAGAATGTGTGCAAAAGTTGCCCCGGTGTGGCGGCGACCTTTCTCATTTCAGAACAGGGGTGTCTCGATGGCAGACCCATGGGGTGCTGGTCGTTCAGAGAAGGGCGCTTCTTGAAGTTGAGGAAGGCTTGAAAGGATCTGTGTGGAGGGGACTTGGGAAGGGAGAGTGTATTACAGCATCGTGGATACACCTTGGGTTTTACCCTGGTCCTCATGATTCCTCCTCCTCCTCCCCCTCGCTCCTCCTCCTCCTCCAACCCCGCTCCTTCTCGGACCCCCACTCCTCCCTGTGCCCTCCACGCCCCTCCGTCCCCCCACCGCCCCCCGCGGCGGGGCGCAGGGCTGAACGGGACGGCAAGGCGCTGGAGCTGCTGGGTCTGCTGGACAGCTTCCAGGACTCCTTTCTCGGCTGCGTCCAGGAGCCACGGCCTTTTCGCGCCTCCTCATCGCCCTCGTCATCATCCCCGTCCTTCGCTTCCTCCCCATCCTTGTCCTCCTCGATTTCGGCCTCCTCCCCCTCCTCCCCTCCTCCTCCTCTCCTCCTCCTCCTCTCCTCCTCCTCCTCCTCCCCTCATCACATCATCATCAGCATCACCCTCACCTCACACCTCGTCGTCGTCGTAATCACCATCACCATCATCATCATCATCATCCATCATCATCATCATCATCATCATCATCATCATCATCATCATCATCATCATCATCATCATCATCATCATCATCATCATCATCATCAACATCAACATCAACATCATCATCAACATCATCATCACCATCACCATCATCATCATTATCATCATCGTCGCCATCACCATCATCATACTCATCATCATCACCACCACCATCACCGCCGCCGCCATCAGTATCATCATAATCCTCATTATCAGCACTATCACCATCATCACCACCATCACCATCATCACCATCATCCTCATCATCATCAGCAGCACCATCACAATTACCATCACCATCACCATTACCAGCATCACCATCATCATCATCATCATCATCATCATCATCATCATCATCATCATCATCATCATCACCACCACCACCACCATCATCATCATCATCATCATCATCATCATCACCATCACCCTCACCATCACCCTCACCATCGCCATCATCACCATCACCATCACCATCACCATCACCATCATCACCATCACCATCACCATCACCATCGCCACCGCCCCCACCACCACCATCACCATGGTTGCCCCCCTTACCCGTCAGAAGGTCGCCACTGAAGGTCTCGTGGGTTCCCTGCCCTTCCCTTCCTTTCCCTTCGCACCTATGCTGCTTCGCCCCTATGCCGTCCGATGATGGTGTCGGTGGCAAGCGGAGCGGCATGGTGCACGAGGCCGAGGCGGCGAAAGCACATGCTGCACAGCCACCTGGCGAAGGGCAGCCACCGCCGCCCTCACCAGGAGCTCACAGAGATGCCTCCTCTTCGGCAGGAGCGTCCCAGCGGCTCCGGCTCCCAGCGACCACCAGAGATCGAGGCACCGAGCAGGAGGGGGGGAGAAGCTGGCACTGGCGCAGCTCGTGGTGGGACTTCCAGCCTCAAGGGCATGCTCTCCAGCTTCACGGCCAACATCTGAACATGCCTCGCGTTCTGACTCTCCGGCGCTCCTGCGCCGCGCCCCGCAGCACCCTGGACAGTGCCCATGTGCGGGCGTGTTTCGTGCTTCGTGCTTCGTGGTGGGACTTGGACGGTCGGTGGACGCCAGAGGCTGCGAGGGCGTGGGGCCGGGGGAGCAAGAAGCAGCATCCGTGGGACAGCCGGTCCGGTGCTCCGCCGCCGCAGCAGGGCAGGGACTTGGGTCGGATGACGAGGAGGCGGAGGAGGGAGGGAGGGAGGGGGGGAGGGAGGGGGAGGAGGAGGAGGAGGAGGAGGAGGAGGAGGAAGGAGGAGGAGGGGAGGAGGAGGAGGAGGAGGAGGAGGAGGAGGAGGAGGAGGAGGAGGAGGAGGAGGAGGAGCCCCCCCCGACGCCCCGAGGTCTTCGATGGCTCGAAGACTTTCGGCAGGCATCTTGGAGTCTTGGGGCCTGGCTGGGGCGCCAGAGCGGGGAGTCAACCAGGGCATCAGGCGGGTGCGGTTTGTTTGAGAGCCCCCCAGCACATCAAGTGTCGATCGATCCGCAGGGCTGGATCGCGGACAACAGGCTACATGATAGAATCGCAGACCTGGCGGTATGGAAGGGTGGCCAGCGAGGAAGTCCCGAACGGGAAGCTCAGAGAGCGGCCTTGTTCGACTTCGCCCTGCGTGGGGGTCCGTACGGACCATGTACGTGCTGCGACGAGGTCAACAAGTGAGCGGGGCCTATGTGCACGGACTCACGCTACCAAACCAAATGAAGGCATGCTACTTGGAGGAGGGTGCGACTCTTACCCCACATAATCGTGAAAATGTGAGAGCGCTCGTAGGTGCAAACATTGTAGCGATTCGTTCAACTTTCTTGATGTTGGACATGCGGGATAAGGGAGTGTTGCCGACGACGGCTCCTTCTTCGAAGTCGTTTTCGGCAGGGGGTGAGAAAAGTGAGGCACATCATGATCAAATATCGCCCTCTCCAGCTCCCATCATGGACGTGGACTCGTACTTCGGCGATGGCCCTGACGAAGCCTTCGAGCTTCCCGAAGAGGGCGCCGAGGTATTCCTTCCGACCCTGGAGCAGCAGGACATGCCAGAAGACGAGCTCATGATACCATTGGCCATGGGAGGATGACGTCCAGAGACCTGGAGAAACGACCATGCTGTGCCAACTATGAAAAACAAGGCCACTGGGCAGAGGTTTTGCGACCTGGCTCACGTGTTTTCGATCAAGGCGGACCGACTTGAAGGGCGAGCGAAACAGCCAGGGTCCCCCAGGTGCTGCTTAGAGCTTCTATTTTGTGAAAAACGACGTCGCTCCGAATTTCGACCAGCACATGGGCTTTTTCGTCTAGTGCGACAAGGACGGATGCGAAGGACCTAGGAGGGCGGCTGGATTTCCGAGCTCTGCGCTGGGACATCTCGCGTTTGCGTCGCCAGAGTTGCCTGGCGCCTAGGCTGAGACGTTCGCGGGGTGTTCCGTCGATCGATCTGTCGTCACCGAGTCGGCAAAGGACACGGCGGCAGGCGTATTCATCAAGTTCATGATGGGCCATGCGCCAATGGACACTAAAAGCAAGCAGGCGCTGACTGGCCGGCAGGATCTTCAGACCCTCCAGGGCGCCATCCAGGATATCAGGGCTTCCTCGCGCAAGCGGTGTTCGGAGAGCTGGAGGGCCAGACCGCCCCCAGCATCTGGGGCGACACCGAGCCCGCAGGACTTGCCTGGGCGCCGGCGTCCCTCGTGGTGCGTGGCCGCAATGCGGGCTCAGTGGCCGTATGTGCCCTGGCGCCCCAGTCCGAGGTGATCCCGGCGGTGTGCCAGATTGCTGCGCATGCAAGATGGAAGCTCAAAGTGGCCGATGCGAAGAGGGCCTCCCATCTGTCGGACAAGCTCCTGCGGCCACCGCCCAGCACCCAATGGGGTCACCTACGCTGTACAAAGCCCGGTCTGGGAGCTCAAGCCCGATCAGCTGGTGCAGTCAGTGGCCCCAACGCACGGACCCAGCGATGCCCCCCCACATTGGCATCATACCCTAACGAAGCACATCAGTGTTCTCGATGTGTCAACTATCTTCTGAAGCCCTGTCCTCGGCTGAAGCGCAGTCCGTTCCGAACGCCGCCGTCCTTTTGTGCCGATGGAGGTCGGCGCTCGTCTAGTCGATGGGAATGAAGACGCGCTGAAGGCCACCAGGGGCCCCTCCTGCTCAAGCCGTCGGGTTCGGAAAGTGGCGGGACAGCGAGGCCGATTGCGCGGGGCGCCTTTCGAAGTGGTCCCCCTGTAATCTTGCGATTGGCCAAGGGAAGCACGTCAGACGACAGCCGTAGATCCCTGTCGCAGATCACAGTAACTACGTCCTGGGCAGATTCTGCTCCCACTCTCGAGGAGACCGCCTCCAACAGAACTGGCGCGGCTCAGGTGTAGCTGATGGCGCGAGGATCGCGTCCAGGACGTCCAGACGTGGCGGGTCCTGCTCCACTTCTGCCCGCGGCTGCTCCTGCGCCCAGCGTCGCGGGGCGCTCCGGCGCGGGCCAGCACGTGCAGGTGCCTCCGGGGATCGGAGAGACAGGAGCAGACCAATTGGGCCGCCGGTCCCGCCTCGTGTCCGCGGCGGCCACTGTGTGCTGGAGGTCCCGGGTCTGCTGGCAGGAGGGGAGCTCGAGGCTGTCGGATCGCAGCGGGAGGGACAGAAGCACACAGACACAAACAACCGTCGATGCCAAGGAAGAGATGGGAAAATGTGGGAAGTGGAAGGGGGGAGAAGACAAACATCGTGAACATGAGGAAACATACGGGGAGTCCCGGGATGTGTGTCTATTTATTTGTGTGTTCCTGGGCTCCTGCATAAGCGCGCGGGAATTCGCGTCGTTGCGCGGCGCTCTCAGCACCTCAGCAGGGCAGCGGCGGCAGTCGCCACTTCGGCCATTGCCCTCTCGGTGGACACAGCAAAAGCTCAATGGTTGCAGGTCCTCTGGCGCGATGCTGCTTTCGGGGCTGCCTCGCGTCCAGAGTGGCATAAGACGCAGTCCCTCTGGGGATTGATGCACACACGGCGTGTTTGGCTGTTCTCTTCTCCTCCTCGTCCTCGTCCTCGTCCTTGGGTTCGCAATTTAATTAGTTAGACGCTCGGCAGGCTTAGTCGCAGCTGCACGCTTGCGGGGCGCAATTGCGCAGTCTCCCCTTACGCCCTTCGGGGTGACCTCATCTCTTGCTCCGCATTGCGCTGATGGTCCCCCTGGTTTGTTGATGCTTTCGTCTCAGTGCAACCTGAGCGAGGTCGCCCCAGACCTTGTGATAGTGAAGGTTAAGTTTGTTTTGGATGCTTTTTCGCAGGCTCCGCTGGATGTCGGGCGGACCGCCGCAATGCTGCGGAACTGGTCATTAACAGAGACTCGTTGGGGTCAGTGGTTTCTCGTGTGAGGCGTGTCCCCTTCGGGCGCATGCCCGCTGACATCTCAACTGAAAAGACTCCAGCACGAGGCAACTTGGCGTTGCAGGAAAACCCATGTTGTGGGAGTTAGGGGCTGTTCAAAGTATGTGGCCACCACGATGAGTGGTTCCCAAATGAGGCCCTCCAATCTGGGCTCCGGGGTGCCCGTCGGCGAACCACGGAGAGGGGCGGTTTTCGAGGGCCCAGCGGGCCAGACCCCTTCTGGGCGTCCCTTGCCCCGGCCGGGTGCTACGGGAGGGCTCCGGGAGCGTCCTCGCTGCTCCTCCACCGTCTTCTCTGGCTTCGTTTTTGGGCTCTGGCGAGGTTCTGCATGGCCGGATGTATCCACACCTTGAATTACTGTCTCGTGCTTCGCGCTTCGCGCGAG